GTTTTGAAAAGGCGGTTTTGGCGGTTTGATTTGAAGGTTTTGAAACGGGCGAATTAATGTGGATCCGTGGAAACGGGAAAACGGTAGGTATTTAGTATAATGCCTTCACTTACCGTGGTACAAGAACTCAAAATTCCAACTCCTTCGGCCGGTGCGACATTCTGTGTAGCATTCTCTCAACTTTCTTGTGTCTGCGACAGAAGTCTTTTGTGAGCAAGCCTAGAAATGGCACAAGAGAGTAGTTAACGTGAGGGTAGACCCGTTGGGGACGATGATGGGGAGGAGTTAGGCAGCGCCAGTACAGGAAACAGAGGCATCGGCCCTTGATAATTGGCCCAAGCATTAAAACAGGTGGACGTCGTGGCAAAGTGGCACACTAAGGGGACAGATCCACACTCACGGTGGCGGATTTGGAAGGCGATTTAGGGGCGATACCAGATTCCGGCGGAGGTAGACTTACGGTTTTTGCCGACGCCAGAGGAAAGGCCGTCTATGGTGGAAGCCAGGGGGAGTTTTCCCTGTAACAAGGAGGCGCTGAAAGGGGGGCTGAGGCTGCCATTGCCTCAGTGGTGGTTGATGTGCTAAAATCGCCTGGAGGGTAGGCGGGAGCAGTTGATGCCCAATGCGTGGAAGATTCTGATGGCTTGTGCGAGTGGGCGTGGCCTAAGGCGAATGGAGGAGAGCCATGCGATCGACGGTTTCTTCTCATGTTACACAAGCGTCGGGGCAGCAAGAAACGTGGGATACCCTACAGGCGGTGAATGGGCAGGGGTTGGTGGCAGGGCTGGCCTACGTCGATCAAGGGGTTGGGCGGCCACGGTGGTTTTTCGTGGTCAGTTAATGGGGGGATGTGGTGTGCGCACCATTATGGAAGGTGCCAAAATCGGTCGATGGAGTCTTAGGTGGGGGTGGTGGCGGAAGAGAAGGGTGAAGAAAGTGAGGGAGTGGAGAGAGAGAGAGAAAGCCGCATGGCGATACGATCTTGTCCGCAAGCCGTCTTGCATACTGTTTGAAGG